GGGAGTTCGTGTGTGTGCAAGTGTCAGGAGCACTAAAACTTAATATCAATATGAACATTATTAATTAGCACTAAAGCGTAATATCAATATGAACATTATTGATTATCAATTTAAGCATGAGCTGACGTCCTTTTTTATCACATATAATTAGGATATGCTGAGCCAATCCCGTGAAATCTAGAGAATGATTGGCCATATTTGACGATGTTATTGTGGCTATCGAGTCATGTGGCTCGATCAAACCAGAACTCGTTTCAAATAAAGGATAATGTATAGCCGTATTAAAGAGCAAGCCAGATCCGCATATTTGCCGACTGCTTGTCTTGATTCGAACGTAAACTGGTTACGTAATTTAGTGGTTGGGATGTCTACGATATTGTGCTTGAGTCCCATATATTTAACGTCGAAAAATCGGATGTATTGTTGAGAGCTATATCCGTAAGCGTTTCCAAGTGCACCGAACTTTGTGTGCAACTCTGCCTCATTTGTTTAATGAATGATGCGCGCTTGGATCACATTTCTGACACAGCCTGTACTATCAGATGAAAATACTACCAGTGTAAAGAGCTTATTTTGCAGCTTTTTATGCAATTTTAGGTGCCATTTTTACTGTAGATATTGAAGAAACAACCTGGCATTGCCAGATCATTTTTTTAATTTTTTTAGGCTTTTGTCATAGTGAAGTCAAAAGGTGTAGAATATTACATAAACGAGAAGTTTGAGTCATTTGAAAAGCATCGTGACAACGTAATTGACTGTTTAAGTACTACAAGCTGCGAAATTGATAAATGTGAAAGCAAAAATTTTCGTTGTAATTTGCGAAATGTGTCAAGAAATGGTTAAATTTTGAAGGATATAAGCCAAATGTTAAATGATATTAGCCGTTAAGAAATACTCATTTATGATTAGTTTATAATTGCTTAAGGCTCATTAGTAATTCTTAACAAGGAAGATTACTTTTTAGAGTAAAGCACAGATGCGAAGGGCAACGATTAAGACGGGGTTTAGCGTAATTTCTTACTAATACGCGGCAGCTAAAATGTTGGCATCCTCGTTTATGCTCGCGAGCGATCTGTGCCATTACTTCATAATATCTTGTCTGTGATGATAAAATATTTTACAAATCAAACTTTAAAAAAGTTGATTTAGAGCCAGTCAAAATATATCATGTCGCTCACATAGTGTTTCAGCGTATTAACAAATGGGACAGAGTAGTAAACTTGTTTTTCACGAGTTTTCGACTCGAGGCAATCACACAATTTAAGTGATGGAGGTATTCTGGCGTCAATTTTCCACAGGATCACGAAATCTTTTTTAAGGCGTCGACTGTGTAGGTAGTAGTAGATGATAAAAGTGGTAAGTTGAACGTGACCGAACGACGAAAAAGTTAATCCGAGGAAGATGGACGATGTCCCGGGGCAAGTAAAAACATTCTTCTTAAATTGACTACCTCCCTTCTCTTATATCCTCCAGTTCACAATTGTACATAAAAAGTGCTTTTGAGTCGTGTTCTGCAATCCCACTCATCGCTTAAACACAAAAATTATTGTGTTGCCTGTGGTAATCGTCATGCGTCACGACACAACATCAACGACAAAGTTTGGCGGTGTGATCGTGCGAGCGCTTGGCCAAAAGATTAAAATCATGCAGATTATCGCACGAATGATCATTTATTATTTGTGTGCCCTTTGTTTGGGGTCTCCTTGTTCCTCCTTCCTAACATGACGCAACAGTCTATCACCCTTGCAACATCAAGCAGGTTTTAAATGAACAAACGTGATGACGGCGAACGATTTATCATTGCAGTATCTTTTGACATGCAGATGCTGAGAGCAAGAGATAATAGCGACTGCTTTACCTCTTTGTCAGAGCGAGAAAAAGCGCTATCGACGAATGCATTGACCTCATCGCAGTCGTTCTCAGAGGTAATGTCAGCGAATATGTACTGACAAAGTGATGAGCAGACATGCACGAAGAACACGGATCGTATAAAGCAATTATTATTCCGGCAAATAGTGTGCATCCACTTTCTTTTACAGCTCTCGAGTCGTCAAGCCTGTTGAAAATCGCGTTAAGATTTGGATGCGTTACAACATTCGCACAACGGTCTTCGCTCGGACTGTTAGTCTAGACCGAAAACATGCTCAGCACTGTATTAGTTTATGTCTCATTCGCGGCCGTACCATTATACCTGGCACTCAGATGTGCAATGGCTTCACACGACAAGAATTGAACTATCTGTATCATTACCCGCAGATTATTGAAGCTCTCTACCTCCTAATCTGATGCCAACAACACAGCTATCTGACCCACAACTGAAGTAAAAGCCGACAGCAGTTACGGTCGCAGCTACATATCACGACTTAAATCCCACAAACAGCAGTAGGTCACTTGTGTTCAGTGCATTTGCATTCTATGATAGGACAAAGTTACGCTTACAGCATCAAAATACAACGTCGACAGTGCTTTACCCGCCGCCAAAATACTTTCTGCGTAGCGCTAAACTCTACCGTTGAAGTTGTATTGTGACGCATGACGATTACCTCAAGAAGGCACAGTGATTTTTGTGCTTGGGCGATGAGCGGGGTTGTAGAGCATGACTTTAGCATTTTTCACGTACGATTGTGCACTGGAAGATCCAAGAGACAGGAGGATGTTTAGACCTGCTCGATGTCCCGTTGTTTGAAGATGAAGGAAGTCGAGGGCATGCATACAAAACGGGACACTAAAGAGATCTGATGCGGGCATTTTGACCAAAAACACCAGGCATTTCTAGAAACGCTGGAGTTTTTTGTCTACTTGTGGTCTAAAAATAAATCCTCTCTATTTTTTCGTCAAAAACGTGCTTAAATTTGTTTGTAATGCACACATAGTACGGTATCCTAAATCAATATGTTTCATAATCGTTTCGGATCTTCCCACAATAATCAAGGTGCACGTTGCGAACCTTGTGGCCCGATGTCGACTTAGGGTGACAGCAGATCGTTGTTAAAGAAGAGCAGCACGACAAATTTAATCGAAGATACTAGTAAAGAGGTAAAGCACATTTTGCAATCATTGTTGTTTAGGTCAATTAATCTTTTCCGCAAAAAACCAACAGGCCGGGTAGAAATAGTAGGAGATGCGCTTCATCTAATGACTTGAGCACCGTCGATCTGATGTCATTACGAAGAATCTACCATGCATGAAGCCTTCACATACATAAAATACCATGTCAGTACGTGCATTAAGGCCATCATTTTCGCTTACATATCGCTCTTTCGCCTGCATTTTTTGCCATGATCAAATACTGAATACAGTTGTGGTAGCGGTTTATGCTCCAATACCATCGTAGCCATCCTGTAAGCCAAACACAAAGTAGCGAAAGAGGTAGCCTGGATGCGATAAATGTAGCGGTTTTTGCTCACACATGCTTACAGCGACTAGACCGAATGTCTTTGATACGACATTTGCATCGTAAGCTTGCTTAATAGGTTTTAAAGCAGATTTGCTTCTTACTCCCAGCCATATCATCGTGGGCGGAGGCTTTCAGCCAAATACATTTCGGCCTCATATTCAGACGCTTGCCAGCAGTTATGCAGCAGGCATGGTTACGATGGAGTAGTGGCGGACGAGAAATTATAATTGTGAGGTTGATTGTACCACAGACTGTTAGCCTCCCTTCAATGTCAAGTAATGCCAAACGCCTTCAAAGCATATGCTGTTTCAGTGTATAAGCGTAAATGTGCGTGAGAAAGCACAGAGACAAGACGACAATGATGTCACTACAATCGCGTGTGATTACTCTTCCCTAAACCTCTCTTGACGAAGGTTATCGTGCAAGAAGCGCGACACAAGCGATTTCGATATCGCTAATCGATAGACTGTTCGTCTCACCAAGCACTCAGGCGGGGCATCACAGCTCGAATGCAACGGACATCGGACTCCTTGAAACAACGGTAAGCCTTAAGTGATGAAACGTTCTGTGCTCTCTATTATGTTTTCCCCCGCTTGCTAATAACCACCGACATTTTGTAGGATTGGACGTCCGCCGTGGTGTTCAATGGTCGTTCGCTTACTTATAACTTCTAACTAATCGCCGGACTCCTAGATATAAGTGCAAAGAGGACAAATTTGTACCGAACGTGGGCATGTATACCTATTCAGAGACAAGCATTGAGGGGCGTTGTGTCAGTTGTTGGTACCGCGAGTGTCATCCTGTAGGCTGCAGAGTAGCGTGGACACAAAATGGTGGGTTTCTTGAGACAGATAATGCAAGGTGCAGGCACTACCTAGGATTTGCCTAAGATTCCAATCTTTTCGCATTTGGTTAATCTGTGAGCAATTGCCTCCTTCTCTGCTTCAGCTCCTTCTTTTCATTCCTTCTCCTCCTACACTGCGCTCAGAATCTCTTAGTTAATGAGCTCTAGCTGGGTTCTTTCAATCTCTCCAAAATAGAGTTGATCAGCTCATCAATGAGGATGATTCTGTCAAAACTTACACCGTTTTCCTGACGAAGAACCGCAGCAAACACACAAAATGGCTTCGTGTCTTGAACCTTAAGGAACGACCTGATCCAATTTTACAAATTTAAGATGAGAACCTATCTTGGTGGTCTCTGGGGCTATTATTCTGCTGATTTGGGTGGATTTTTTTGGTGGGGGTGGAAGAGTGGTTCTGGACGATGCCACCATTATCCAATAACTAATACTCTATGCTAACTGATAGGAAATGTGTCAACCGAGGCTAAAGTTAGTAAAGGGAGACTCGCTACCCGTAAATAAAATCGCGCCGGACGCGTTTTGCCCCTACAGGATCAACGTCAATGGCTTGCGGATGACTTTTATCTGTAAGTTTATGGGAGATTTTACAGCTCATACAATTCTCTAGAGCATTCTGCACATCCCCCGTAGCATCGGTCAAAGGTCGACTGTCAAAACCAGCGCAACTTGAACTTCCAACCATTACGGCACGAGAACAAATGAATCGCTTTTCGATTTCGTGATCCACGAGCGAAGCAGATGCCGCTTCATCGCGTGCTGACCTACCTCGCCGCTAGTTTCTTAGGTCAAACGATAGGGACATCGACCTTCACGTCGAACCAGCCATTAAACGGGTGGTACCAGTGCTCGCCCTATACAAATGAGGCAGAGACCAACACGAGCGGCCTCGCTGCCGAGTGCGCGACGTTCGCACCTCCATTGTGTTACCCTGGTATCTGTGAGGCACCGTCTGGTGCACCGAAAACGATCGACGTGTTCGTAAAGCGGCTGCCTGCCTCGACGGGCGATGCTGAAATGGCGTCCAACGTTTGGATGATCAATGGGGGACCTGGGTTGTAACGGGGTGAATCGTTACATAACAATTTATAAGAAATTGTTAATAGAATATAACTATAAGAGTTATATTCTCAGAATATTGTCATAAGGACAATATTCTGTAGCATTTCCAAGTAGTTCCTAATTGGTTGATATAGACCATTATATCAACCAACGAAGACGCGCCACGACAGACGCACGCAATGAGTGGTGAGCAGATATATCATTTACACATTTGTATTTAGACATAGTTAGATGAAGATAAATAGTGATTTATTGCAGACATTAACTATTATAAATACAGTTCTACTTTTTACTCTAACCAAGTACTCGCTTCTTCTTACCGTCTTCCTCTGCACGTACGAGTGTACGTGAAGTTACGAGGCACCGCCTTATTCTGTTATCAGAATAAGTAGCTTGTACTGTCACCAGTACAAGCTTCAGGGTGCCCCGTTACACCTGGTAGCACTTCGTAGTCCGTCCAAGGACCGCGTTCACATCCAACATGAATATGTTGGATGATGAAGATGACCAAAGCTTTCACGCTACGCGTGACGGCTACTCCCATTTGAGCGATGTCGAATGGGATGCGGTTGAACGAATGGGTTCGACCATGGGCATCCATGCTGTTAGCGTCATGCTAGAGGCTCTCAATAGAGATGCCCAACATGCTACTATCGCCAAGTTCATTCAAAATGAACTTGACGCAGAACGCGAGAAAGTAGCCTTGCTTCACCAACAAGGTTCTCAACAAGCAGAGTTGTTGAGAGAACAAGGTGCTCAACAGTTTGAACTGTTGAGACAGCAGCAGGCTGCTGCTGGCGGGTCGATGCACTCGCGTCGGCCCGAGACTTTGAAGATTGACATCTCAAAGTATAGGGGGTCGAAGAAGACTCCCTCTTGAGATGGTTCGTCGAATTGGATGACGCCATAAGGGCGCGTCGCATCGACGACGGGGATATGCAAGTTGCATTTGCCCAGTCAAATCTGGCAGGACGTGCCAAGACTTGGGCACTGGGGCTCAAGCTGCACGACCCATACGCGTTTGGGTCGTTGGAAGTCTTCAAGTCGCGGCTCAGACAAACGTTTGAACCGCCTAGAGCTGAGTTCAGAGCTCGAACCGAACTCTTGAAGCTCAAGCAGGGTAAGCGTGATGTGCACGCTTACGCTCAACATATACGACATCTCACGAGTTGTATAAGTTCCAATCCGGTGGATGAACACACGTTGGTTTCGGTGTTCATGCAGGGTCTTGCGGATGGTCCCGTCAAGACTCACCTGTTCCGGCTTGAACTAGATTCACTAGAACAAGCCATTTCAATTGCGGAGCAGGAAGACTTCAGTCTGAGACAGGCTCGCGCCAGCTCGACATCATATCGTCAACCGAGACGATATGACAACGGAGGTCCAGAGCCGATGGAACTCTGTTATGTAGAGAGCGAGAAGGCTCGCTCTACAGGCTACAAGAAGTTGCAGAGATGCAACAGATGTCAAAAGACAGGACACTACGCTTACGAGTGTAGTGCCCCTCGTCCAGTGTCTCGCGACACTGGGCGTAGTGACCGTCCACCCATGAGAAAGGGGCAGGGACGAGGGTCCGCAGTTGGTGCAAAGACGCAACAACGGGATGGACCGTCAAAAAACGGACAGGATCAGTAGGTGCGGAGCACCCTACTGATCCAGCAACGTCAAGAGAATTTGTAGGCCTCTTGATGAAGGTTGCTCCCAACACACAGACATTGTGCGTTGCTGCTCTAGGTAATGAGATCTCACTCATTACCTTGAAACTCGAAGTGACGAATAAGTTGTCCCTTCGAGCTCTAGTCGATTGTGGGGCGTCCAACAATTTTGTGCGACGCCAATCGCTAGAAGATGGTCACTTTAAATTCAGTGAATGTGACACACCTCCTACGAGGATGACGGTACGTCTTGCGACAGGCGCATCCGTAACCGTCATGAAGCGTATAGTGAAGATTCACTATACGCTAGAAGATACCCAATACGACGATTGTAACGGGGCACCCTGAAGCTTGTACTGGTGACAGTACAAGCTACTTATTCTGATAACAGAATAAGGCGGTGCCTCGTAACTTCACGTACACTCGTACGTGCAGAGGAAGACGGTAAGAAGAAGCGAGTACTTGGTTAGAGTAAAAAGTAGAACTGTATTTATAATAGTTAATGTCTGCAATAAATCACTATTTATCTTCATCTAACTATGTCTAAATACAAATGTGTAAATCAGTTATCTGCTCACCACTCATTGCGTGCGTCTGTCGTGGCGCGTCTTCGTTGGTTGATATAATGGCCTATATCAACCAATTAGGAACTGCTTGGAAGTGCTACAGAATATTTGTCCTTATGACAATATTCTGAGAATATAACTCTTATAGTTATATTCTATTAACAATTTCTTATAAATTGTTATGTAACGATTCACCCCGTTACATCACCCCCCTTAACCATCAGTCACTTTAGTGACTGATTGACTAAATGGATACTCGTCCCAAATCATTTGGGACAGGGTTTGCACTTGTTGGTCCGCGTCCACTTTCCAACATTTCATCGCATGGTAAACAAGCCCATGCGATGCGCGAGCAAGGCCGCCGAGAGCGCGTCTGCACGTCTCTGTGCGGACGCCGAAGCAGAAACAACAGCAACTGATGTCCCATCGGTTGCTGAAGAGACCCAGCCTGTGTCACTTGGTGACGCAGGCGCTGGTCATGAAGACACTCGTGTCTTCACAGAGTACGAGCTCGGTGTCTCGTACTCTCCTGATACGGATGACGGATCCGTATCGACGGCGATTGAATCTAAGCCGCCTGCAAAGCGTGGCATGGACGATGCTTTGCGTCGTAGCATCTTTGGTTCATCTGATGAGTCAGATGAACCATCGCCGAAGCGAAGGCGCTCGAGGTCGCGAGACTCGGGCGCTAATAGTGGTGTCGGTTCTCCAATGGACACCACTTCACAGCGAGGTGCCAGTACTTCTGTCGGCACGTCGCAGGAAGAGCGGGACCGCAATGTGTTGCGTCTCGCTCCAGAAAAGAAGGCATGGATGCCTCCAAAATCCGTCATGGATCACTTGTCGGCGACGACGAGTGATCGTTATCGAACACGATTGTTCGATTCGTCAAGGATCCATCACCTTGACCCCAGCGCGAAAGACTATCGCGCTGAACATGAGTTCTTCATCGATGCTTTCTTCAGACATCGATGGTACAGTGGGAATCACAAACGTGATGGTCCCTCACTACTTCAGGCGTGGAACGCCTACATCCATAACCTCGAGGATGTAGGTCGTGACGCTTGGAACGACAAACTTATCAAAGCTCGTGATAAGTTTGAAAAGCGAACCCCGACAGGTGCACGCTACAAGCTGCATCGTCTGTCAAGGGAGAAAGGATTACCCTGCCTCTCTTGGGGAGACTCGTGCCCATGTTGTGTGAACAACTCTGCACGAGCACCTAAGGAGGCTTACCTCCTTACCAGCCCGTGGTGGCGCGTACGTGTCTCTACTGAGATGTACGAAGGGATTGACAACCTGAAATCCCTTTACGACCGTGCCGGGAAGACTTTCTCCGGCGGTCCTTCTGCGGCACAGGATGTGCCGCGTCGTACTGCTCGACCAGACCCAGTACGTCAACCATCAATTGGGAGCGGGGCTCCCAAGAATCCCAGGACGGGGGATAGCCGCGCCACCGGACGAGGTAACTCGTCCGACGTCCGTTCACGTCGCGGTGGTTCAACAGCTGCTCAACTAGATAGCGCTGGCCACCGCGAGAGTCCTCTAATGGAGGTGGAGGAGGAGGAAAGACGCTCTCCACACGATCATGTGGATCGGTGTGTTCCCGAGAGCTTCTTTGATCGCGTAACGCAAGGGTTACGCGACGATCTCGAGCATGAGCGGAATAGGCGTCTCCAGATGGTGGACACTGCCTCGAAGCATCGAGCTGAGTTTGCCTTTGCTCAGCTTGAGAACGAGAGATCTCTGACATCTCTTCGTGACGAGCTAAGGGTAGCTCGTGGGATTGTTGATCGGTCTCGGGCTGAGATAACTGCTCTTCAGACCCTTGTTGATGCCCACCATCGGGAGCACAAGGCTCTCTGCGAGATGCTTGAGCGCAAGGGCGTTCTTCATCGGAAGAAGCAGCGTACTGATGGTACGGCTTAAGCCGACCAACGTAAAACGTGGGATGCGTTCGCATCTTACGTGGTAACTCGATCGTGTATGCATTGCCTAGGCGGTGCAATACACGAAATGGGCCAATGTACTTGGGTAGTAGTTTACTGCTACCCAAGTTAGTCACTACATGCTTTGGTAGATTAACCGTAGACAGTAGGACTAATTCACCTTTATTAAATAAAAGAGTGTTTGCCCTTCCATTCTTGTCAGCGTTTTGCTTTTGCTTATCCACCGCTTCGGCGATGGAGTCTTGCACAAAACGGACTACCGTTTCACGAGCCAGTATGAACTCATCTGATGACTCGTTAGCTTCAGTGTGCTGTGAGCGCACTGCAGCAACATCAACCTTTTCTTCAGTGAGGGCTTCCGCACTCTCACTGGGATCATCTTCTTCAGTGAGGGCTTCCGCACTCTCACTGGCATCATCTTCTTCGATATCGATGTTATCGATATCGGCATCAAACGCAATGACTTCTTCGTCAGAGCGTGATGAGCGTGAACCAATTCGGTTTTTGCTCGCGCGAGTCCCTCCCCCCTTAAACCAGAGTTACACTCTAGTAAGGTGGGTACACGCGGATGGCGCAAGCCATTCACGTAAAACGGTGTATGTGTCGTGGACGCATGCACCGAGTTGTTGATGGCAAACTCTACCATCGGCAAAAACTCACTCCAACTCTTAAAGGAGTGTACGTATCCTCGAAGTATCTCTTCAAGGACACGATTGGCACGTTCCGTCTGACCATCTGACTCTGGATGATCAGATGTTGACATCTTCAAGCGCGTTCCGAGTGATTTGAACACGGAACGCCAGAAATCAGCAGTGAATCGTGGATCTCTG